CATGAAATTTACAGTGCGATCCTTGTCATGTGGAATACTAGACATTGATGAGAAAAACTCAGATTTAAAAAAGTCTGTATCATGGTCTAAAGACCACTACATACAGAAATTTTCAACAACTATACATGTACATGAGGGTACATACAGTGTACATGTACATGTACCAATGAGAGCCAATGATTTTCCGCGATCACGGAAAATAGACGGAATTTAAAGGATCAACACTTTAAAACGGGATCCACTGCTCGAAACGGAACTTGCAATTTTCCCTCTAAGAGTGGCTTAAAAAGTAAAGAAAACTTTCTGCAAAGGACTAAAAAATAAATGTCTACCAACACCCTTTCAAATGCTTGCTTTTAATGAACGAATTAAACTGGAAACATGCTAAATTGCACCATTCCACCACATGGTTGGATTGTCCGTGTTGCACCGGTGCCGATACTTGTAAGCGCTATGGCGTGCGTGAGCCCCATGCATGCAGCGGCAGCCGGCACAGTGCAGCGGTGTGGTACGGTACATACATACACACTGTACACACATTGGCCGTTCACACGCGCACCGTACTAGCAATGAAATCAAGGCGCAAACAAGTTCTCACTCACACATATGACTATTGCACACGTGGGGAATTTAGTCTCTGAATCTGCATGGATGCCCTGAGACAAGGCTAGTGAGGCATGGCGAAACAAAATCGCAGCAGTAAAATGGAAAACTAATTACATATTTCTTGAATTTAATGAAACCTAGTAAGCTTGGTGTACCATAGCTGAATGGACCCTCGGAAGTGTTCAATAAAAAGTGACGTTTTCAGTCACAAACATAAATTTTAAGGCTCAGATTTAATGTCATCTTTCTGAATTTTGTCGCACTCCTGTCAAACACTGCCAAAGAAAATGGCGGGTCAATGTCCCACATTAACATACTGTGATCAAAGACTGTTACATGCAAGACCTACTCTGTGACTTCACTGTACATGTACAGTATGTAATCTGATTTCATACATGAGGAGTGGCACATGAATTGGCTGTTGATTAATTGTAGCAAGTTTTTAGCGATCCCGCATCAGTGGGAAATCATGGGGTGGGGTGTGCAGTATTTATTGTCTGGACTTTTTTAAAATTTTCACTACGGAAATTATAAAAAAAAGTTGGAAACATTGCAAAATATTTCCAAACAATATTGTTATTTTTGTGTCTTTTTGGGGGGGGCGATGTGGTTGGGCAGATGGTTTCCACGCATACTTTAAAACTTCCTCCCCTATTTCATGCTAATGTATTTAAACGGAATTTGAATTTCTGAAGTGGAATTCGGGATTTGGCGAAACGGAAAAGACCCATTTTTGAAACAGTGAATAATTGGCTCTATACATATGTACAGTACAGTGTCATGTGTACCAGTACACATGTACCGCCCGAGAGTTTTTAGAAAGCGGCAAGGTCAAGGATCATGTCCGTATGTCGACTTGGCAAACGGTCGAGTTGGTAAATGGTCGAGTTAACTCGACTTTGAAGTTGAGTTGGTCGACGGTCGAGTTGGTCAGGAGAAGAGTTGACTCGATTCGGCAAACGGTCGAGTTGACCTACAAGTACATGCACAACCACCGGTAGGCATACATGATGTATCACTGGCCCGTCTGTCACGTTTGTTTTCATTTGTGTTCATGGAATCTAACTACGAATAAATTCACAATCACATCAAACGCTAAAGATATTATTAAAAACTCACGTCGAACGTCTCAACTTCTCCCTCTATATACAAGGCGAAAGAAAAAGGCACTGGGGTTGTCACCAAAGCTATCACCAAACACCACCAAACCATGCTGGGCCGTTTCTTTGAGACGTAATCCGCCATTTTCCTCCATCAATTTAAGACGGTACACCACTTCACAAAGTAAAACCATTCGTTATGCTAATTTTGTAGGTGCCCGCCACTCCTTAAGTGAGTTATTCGTTCGATGGAACCTGGCCGGGTACCAGTCACCCTCGTGACGCACAGTTAAGTTTACCATCGCCCAGCAACATTCAACACAATGTGCATATTATATGTACATGTACATGTACATTGTAAGCACACTGCGTGTATATGTTCATTATTTCATGTATGTACAGCGTCTGAGATCGAGAGTGAATAGGATTGTGTATGCTATTTAGCTGCCAAAGCGAAGCAGTGGAATCGTTGAACAAATAGCGACAGGGTTAATTTACTTTCACTCGTTTGATCAGTTTGAGCAACAATACATTCTGTGTACACAGGAGCTATTTCGACTAGAGCAACTGAAGAGGGTATATTTGCTTACCCTTTCTGCCCGGCGAATAATTAAAGGTCATTCAAACAGCACTACCATTTCTTTGCTTTTGAAAATGGTATTTATCATGACCAAAATACACCGATTTCTATTCAGCTTGCACGAACATGCTTGAAAAGCGCAAAGCAGGAGGCCCGGGAGACTCATACCACTGTTAATCCCTATAGCTCCTGCATCATGCCCTCTACTATGCTTCCAAAGGCAGTGCTTCGAGAGGACAAGAGCTCCTCACCAAGCAGCCTTCCAGGAAGTGTTCCCGGATGCCATGTGTACATTCAAAAAATTGAACAGATGAAAATTCCAATCTATTGGCCTATAAATGAAAATTCCCGTCACCCCCCCCCTTGTTTAAAAGTTCTCCAAGAAATTCCCACGTCTTTTAGTCCTTTACTTTTTCCGAGGAAAATTGCCCCCCCCCCATTTAAGGTCCGTATGCGACTAGAGGTGTCAATATACGAGTCACTAACTTCTGTGACTTGAGTTGAGTTTAAGTAGTCGAGTCTTTGTAACGCAGTGACACGCGTCACTAGTAGGCCAAAAAGTCATTTTGAGTAAAATATTTGAGTCCGTGTATTTAGCTCGAGGTAATCCGAATTTAAGCGAAACGACTAATGCCTGAGCCACAGGCGCAGCATTCAGTCTCCTAAACGCTACATTCCCATTCCTCAGTACCTCTTTAGTTCGAGAATAAAAAGAATTCAATATTATAATGGATTTCCAACGATTTTATTCTATAATTTTACTTTTATTTTCCCAAACACCCCGTCCATTTTATGGTATATTTCTTGTGCAAGTTGTCCAAAAGAATTTCCTTATATGGACTTGGCGCGCGCATGGCTAGCCGCGAGCACACAGACTCTTGACCAATAAGAATCGGTTAAATTGTCTTGTATCCAGGTGCAAGCGCGTGATAACACAGCAGGCATTATCACTTCTCAGCGGGCATTATCAAATATTATTACACGGCCAAGTTGTATGTTGTAGAATAGGGAGACTTTATCAGTTGCTTTTAAATCCGCTGTCCGATCAGCCCATATTCAAAGCTCATTTCTAAACGCCCGCGGTAACAGAATTCTGCGCAGTCACAAGTACGTGTAAAGAAGACAAGGTAAAATGGGTTGTTCACATTCAGAGCGGACAGACCGCGCAGTCGTTTGATAAACGGCTACATTAAGAAACTATAGCGCAATTTTTCCAAAGATTCTGCGCGAAGACTGCGCGTTCTGGCCAATCAGCGTTTTCGATTATACGTCGTGGTCTGGCTGCTACGTCACTAACATAAATACCGAATGGGTTTCTGCTCGGTGTAAACATGCGTAAATATCGCGCGATAAATTGTTAATATATCCAGTGGCATGCCGCGCGCGCGCGTAAAAGTAATGGGGCTTGAGGCTTTTCTTTTTTCATGGATGCTGTAATACAAAAATTCACAACGCGTCATTGCAAATGTGCTTGATAATGTTTTATTACATTTAAAAATCGAACTTAAATACATTTCCTGTCAATAATAGTACTGATGTTGTAACCAAAACATCACGTGTGACAAATTATATCAGAAAAAACAATCATAATGTCTTTATTCCCTCCACCAAACATAAATATTTAAGAAATTTACCTACATAGAACTAAATGAAATAATACTTCTGTAGCTAAAGACCAACCTTCTAATTCCCTAAAACACTAATAAATCTTGAAAAAATGTATGCAATAAAAATGCAATAAGGAAAGCAATTCACAAATATTTCATTGGTCTGAATTATTGATAATTATCAATAAAATGCATTTTATTTAAAACTCTAACAATTAGGCATACATGTGTATTTGGCAAATTTTAGTTCTGGATTAAATATGGCAGTTGCAACTTTTATATGAAAAAAAATTCCTTATTAAAAGTCACACAGCTTAAAAAAAATGTATCACACATCCATCAGTCTAAATAGACCGACGGCTTGACTCCTTCCCGGGCGTCAATTCTGTGCACACACACTTGATGTTATAAGTGGATTTAATTACAAATTTTGAAATTTGGTATATACAGTCGAACCTTGTTAAGAGGTCCTTTGGACTTGGCAGATTACATTGTTATTAACAGCAATGAAAACAAAGGACTGGGGCCTAAAAAATATTCATATTATAAGCAGAAAGTTGTACTAACAGTGTTGTCATTAACAAGGCTCGACTGTATTTGTGTTTTCCATGTTAGCTTTTCGTACAACTGAAGAAATTTGCCATTTTTTCTGCTCACACACTTACAGAATAGTAATGCTATCTTTTGAAAATGACAAAAAATGCTGTAATCTACGAAAATGTGACAGATGGAAAACATGCCCATTTAATTAATACTTGATTTCACCACAGCATGCAATGAA